CACACACACACACACACACACACACACACACAAACTAACACCCACACACTCACACACACACACACACACACACACACACACACTCACAATGCCTTCATATTTCATTTGGGTCATCAAGAACAACTGTCTACAAGAGGAAATCTCTGACTGAATCTCATGCTTTCTCCACTCAACAACATAATAATGTATTTTCCTCGTAACAAAGTGGCTGTAACCCTCCCATGGGGCTAATGCTCAGAACACACAGACAAACTGAAAGCACAAGAGGAGGGAAACAGCAATTCAAGTGTGAACTAAAAAACACCCCAGAGCCAGAGACTGTCACACTGACACTGAAGGCAAGTGTCTGGTTGTGCTGGAGACAAAAGCGTGAATTAGTTTGAAGTAAATTAACCTATAAACCAGAAAATAGTCTATTAACACATTGAGATTTATTACAAAATCTACAACCAAACTGATTGTAATTAAAATCTGAATAACATCAAACTGTCTTAATGTATTGTATTTTAACAAAAATGCTTGCTGTACTGTGCATATGTACATATAATATAAATAGTATTTGTACTTTAAAGTGATAATTTCCAATCTTTTAGTGCACTGAAAAACCTGCCTTATGGATTTCTCCATTAGATTAGTTACACACTTAATAGGAACATGACCTACAGCAACTCATATCAAGCTGCAGAGATTGCAGACTGATGGTTGGGGATCAGAGGGAAAAAGCCTGAAATGACAGCTACTGTACAATCTGGGCCTTTGATGCATAAACAAATAGAAAGTGCTGGAAACTATGAGTACTGAGCACCACCCAGTGGCTGATTACTGTATGTGTTCAGTTAAAGCTCACCAGGGGCCTGTAGCTGCACAGGAAATTGGGGAAATCCAGCATGAAGCTGGTAGTTTTCACTCTTTCACCAGTTTTTGAAATGATTAAATACATCCTCAGGGGCGCCTGATATGAAATTTCAAAGAGTCTAAACCTGTTTGTCACTGTTGCTGTGTGTTCTTAAGCCTGACTGTCTGACTTTACATACATAATGGATATTTTTACACTTATAATGAATGAAATTACAATGTGAAAACAATGTGACACAAAGGAAAGGAAATCGCTCATGATGAACCTACAGAGAATTATCACCTAAATCTTAACAGAGCGTTATAGTTTCAGCTCATCTACAAATAGCAGTCAAACATTAAAAACTTGAGTTAGAGAGTGGTTGAATGCATTTGAGCATTTAGCTGCTAAAGAGATGAATATATTTCCTTCAGGTGGCAAACATTAATATCTTTTAAAAGGCATACCTCATTAAAAATCCTAGACTCTATGAATATGGTATTTTTGTTTGACTGCTGGACACAAGATGTCTCATACTTCAATGTAAAGTCCATTCTCAGTGTTTATGCACTGGTGGCTTCAAGTTTCTTAATCATGCTTGTATAAGTTGCATACTGGACCGGGATTGAGTCTTTTATGTGGACTTCATAACTCTCCTCTACACGCTAACTCTCAACCTTTACTCATTTCAGTATTTATCACTTGTGACTGTTGTTCACCAAAAGTTATTTGCTTTAAAATACTTTCTTTTTCTCTCCAGAATCAATAGATCCTCCATCAAACCTCCTCCGAAAACTGATGTAGAGATAATTCAGGCCTTGGAAAAAAAAAAAAAAAAAAAAGCATGTTAGACATCTGCTCTTTGTAGGACCATATTGATCCTTGATCCAATCACAGCTGTTTATTTTTTGTTATTGATTTATTTATTTTGTTGCAATGTACCAGTGAGAATGGTGTTTTTTTCCATGCTGCTGGTTTGCTGAACTGTACCCTCTCCATTTAGCAACAGGACTTTTCCATTTAATTTTCATTTCTTCTTTCCACACCCGGGAGTGCACAACACCCTGATAATATGTAATGAGGAAATATAGATTTATGTTTTTGTTTGACATACTTTATCAAAGGAAAACTGTCAAATAGTGTCTGTTAGAGCTGCTTAGTTCAGAGGAAACCACTTTTTTTCCCACTTCAGTTCACACTATTCATTATCACAAATCAGCTTCAGCTCCTAGGCAGATGTTGCCCCCTAGAGATCAATACAGTCAATATTCATAGAGTTAGGGTCAATAAAGTATAACATGAAATATGTTATTTGTATTTGTCCAAGTCTGTAAAAAGAAATATACACATATGGGACCATATTTCATATTTGTATGTGCTCATGCACACATTGCACAAACTTCCTCAACCATTATTCTACTGTCATTTATTGTCAGGAGGGCCACAGTGGTGTCTGCAGTGCAAACCAACAGGCATGACTGTAGCCAGCGGTACAGGCAGAATAATGAATGAGTAATGAATAATAGAAGAATAATGAAGAATAATGACTTGGGGAAAAGACACACACACATGCATACACACTCATATGCACACATTATACACACACGAGGATAGACATAGATAATTATACAGTATCACCATCTATCTTCCTCTCAGAGAGAGAGAGAGGTTCCTCTGTCCCCTCTGGTGTACGCAACTTCATTAAGAGGAAGTCACAGATGAGCACAGGGTGGAGAAACACTCCCTAACACTATCTCTCTTTTCTGCAAAAGATATTTCAAGGAAATAGGGTTACAGATGATATCAGCAAATGTGGTCAGTATTTACTGACACTCTCTAAAGATACCACAATTACTCAAAACAATCATCAGCCACACTGCTCTAAAAACAGGTTCAGTGTATAACCTTATAATATTCATAGCTATGTTTTAGTGTATAATCATCTGAAAATAAGAATTGTTATGTTTTTGTTACCCTAGTATGAGCCGTTTATGTCTACAGTGTCACCTTCCATGGAGCCCGCCATGTTGAACTGCCGTGTTCGTTCAGTAGTCTAGATGGATGAAATCAAACAGTGCATCTACATAGGGTTATTTGTACTATTTCATGGCCACTGTAGTTTCTTCAACAGAGCATTAAGCAATGAGTTGCAATCTGCAACTACACTGCTAGATGCCACTACATTTTACACACTGGTCCTTTAATGCCATAGAGCAATGGGATTTATGTGAGTTTTTGTATAAAACCAGGGACATTTTCTTGCATGACCTGACCACAGGTCAGATTCAAACCCATGGTCGCTACAGTGAGGACTTGGGAGGCAGCTCTACCAGGTGAGCTATTCAGGCACCCCTGGGTGGTAATACTTTATAATATGAGTACAAAACACATGCTTAAGTTATGCATCTAAAGCGTGACTCATGATGAGTTACTTCATGGTTCAACGCAAGATGTATTTTTCCTTATAACTGCTTGCATGTCTCTAACATGGTGGCATGGCTACATTTACTTCAGTTTTGAATACGTCATTCCCTACTTTGTGTTATGAAGCTGTTTCCTGTTTCTCTGGAAGGTTTTGTTCCGCACTAAGTTTGTTTTAGCAACAGTTTCATGATGCAAGATAAACCACTTCCCCCCATTTTAGGCCATACACTGAGAGACGTTCATACCATGTAGCCTATTGTAAATAGGCAGACAATTATAGACTATCACCATGAGTTAGTGTCTCAGAGTGCAGCTCTGCAGCCCAGTAGCAAATAAATGCTGAAAGAAGACAGATAAAGATACATGATTAATGCCAGGAATTCAGGAATTAAACCAAAATACCAACACATGCTTCCACCTGTACTGCGTGGACAAAAAGATGTTTGCATGAACACAATATGACCCAACTCCAATTTGAGAACATTTATTTTGGTGTTTGGGAGACTCTACAGGTGAAAAGGGTAAATATTTGAACTAATAGATATCACCATGAAACTTCCCCTGTTGATTGCTTACATTATATAGGTTTTCTGAAATTTGATATGCAAATAAGGCGTAAGAAGAAGAAGATTTACTATATTAATTGCCAATGGGGAAGTTTTTACTATAGGCCTGAAATATAATCACACAAACACAGGGCTTGTACACCTGCAAATGTGGAGAGATGGTGGAGTGATGGGCTGCCATGTAACAGCACCCCAGGACTAGTTAGGTGGGCAAGAGGGGACTTGCACATCTCCAGCTACCAGTTCACACTATATACTGTAGTTCATGTTGGACCTGAACCAGCAACCTTCTGGTTCCCAAGCCCTATGGCTTAAACTACTGAAAGAAGACATGTAATGTATGTAAAAGGTCCAAATTGACCAGTGCATGTTTTTGCCTGTTGTGTCTCAACAACTTGGAGATGATTATGGTTAAAAGTATACACCAAAGTAATATTTTAGTTGAGGCTGACCACCATATTCAGTCACAAGTGATGAAAACCAGTGGTCATACGTAAATATAAAAGTGTTTTTGTAACCACTGCTGTTGTGCAAAGGGTAGACAACGTAGCAGGAACACCTAACAATGTAATGCATTTTAGTACAACCAAATCATGAGGAACTTAAAACTGATATATTGGTCTTTGATTTCTGTGCTTTTTGCAGAACCGTATAAAATCCACTTGCTACTCCTGACCTGCTCTGGCAACCAGTGAGAGTTTGCCCCAGGTGAGAGGTCTGATGTCAAACTGTCCAACAGCAACAATCTTAGCTGTCATCACAGCCGGAGCCTGAAGGTGACCACTGTCGGAGATATGAAATGTTCAAAACCAAGTGTGTTGAGAGGCTGATAGACTTGCCCGCCAGCTCTGAAATTTAAAAAACCATTAAAAGTTCTGTGGAGTCTGGTTAACTGTTTTTCCTGCAGGTCATAAATTGATTGACAGATTTTAAATGTTACAAACTGAAGGCTTTCATGGGTGAGATTAGGTTTAATTATGATTCTATTTATACTAAGGTGTGCATTTGTATTTGAGTTGCTGTTGGTATATTTTGGCTTTTTTTTTTACTCTTCATATTTTAACAACAACCAAGAGTTCAAACAAAGAGGTATAAGGGGTTGACACATTGGATTCTATTGCTGGCCTTGTAGAAAAAAAATGGGGAATATTTGGAAAAGGGAACTTGAAACTTCTCTTTCTTTCAGTTCCTCCAGTCTTACCTGTGCTTTGATTATTATAGTTGATTCAGTCTTGCACATGTTTGCCTGAAGTTAGTGTGGCATTGCTTTTTGTTCACTTCAAACCAACATGCTGCTCAGCTTTTTTCTCCTGTTCTTTTTGTGTGAGAGCACAGGTAAGAGCCTTTTCATTAATGAATGTAATACTTCAGAGTATAGGTATTAAATGTAATGTTACATTTATTTGTGCTTCTTGTTGCACTTACAGTGACATTATGGACTACAATCTGGACCACTAATTCTTACCCGGAAACTCATAGTACCACAGTGACTACAGAAGGTGATACGGAATATGATTTTTTAGTAATTACAATTAATTGAAACTATGGCTTATGTTACAGCCACCAGTTTTTATCTTCTCAACTTAGTTTCTGAGAAATCATGTTTTGTCTGTAATTTTGGCATTTAGATTTAACCAGGAAAGTTGAATGCTAATGTAAGTCATAGAAGTGCTCCAACTGTGAGTCAAGTAACATTGTGTTAGGGAAACATCATTTCACATATTTGTAGTCAGAGGTGCCCGAAAACTATACAGGGGAGGCTGATGGCAATGTTTTGTAGTTACAAAACTGTCATAAATCAAAGTATTGGGAAACAAAACCTTAACCTGGATGCAAAATTAAGGAATCACTATTCAATTCCAAAAAGTAATCAAAAAGTTTTTGAGACATTTTACTGATGGCACTAGGAAAAGTCAGTGGCTCACTTAAGTCATTAGGACTCATTCTGTGAGGACCATGAACGTCTGTACAAACATTTTTATGCCAGTACATTTAGAGGATATTGATATTTCACTGGGAAAGCGAATACCTGCCCTAACCCTTTGACCTGCTGGTGGTGCTATATATAAGGCAGAGGATCAGCAAAGTCTTTAAGATTCATTCTCTGGCGACCATGAATGTCTGTACTAAATTTCATGGCAATCCATCCAATAGTTGAGGAGACACTTCGGTTTGGATCAAAGTGGTGACATAAACATAACATAGTAGGGCTGAAAATGTATTGTCAGTATTTTCTGACTGGAACTGTTTTATCTCTGCTTGCACCGTCCTCATCCATCATCCTCCATTTGTCCCCAGTAATGCTGTCTCCTCTGCAGCTGGTGGCCACCCCAGACTACCCGGTTGCAGTAGGTCAACAAGTTAACTTGCACTGCACCGCTTTCACCATCCCAAACTCTGTCACTTGGTCCTTGCAACACCTAAAAAATCAGACCTGGAAAGAAGTGGGCAATGGTCGGGATCTGACCCTCACCAAGCCAGATCAGAGCGGGCTTTACCGGTGCTGTGCCATGACCTTGTCATCTGGGAAGCATGTGAGCCCGAACCACACAGTCTATATCATCTCCTTGCATGCAACAGGTTTGTGGTCTGCTTTAATTTGCTACATGTCTGAAAACAGTATAAAATCTTAATAGGTCAGCACATTTGTTTTTTTATTGTTGATGACTGGTAATGAGCTCATTATTGGTCTGGACACCAATGTTAAAGAAATGTGGTTTTAAGATTTTATGAATGCATGCAGCCTAGGACTTAATAACAGATAAATGGCTCAGTACCATTAAGTATCCAAGTAATAGTGACATTGAAACCAGTATGCACAATAGCAGGACCTCCCCTAATGCAGCTATCATTAACATACCTGTGAGTTTCCTGTTATAATATGCCAAAATGTCTGCTGTGCAACCAGTCCAAATATTATTATAAATTTACAATTACTTAAAGTAACATTATGTGGATATGAGTCTTGATATTTACTGATATAATTTTCTTCAAATTAACACATCACATAATAAACATTTTTGTTAAGAATCTCTTTTTAATATTTTGATATTGGATCACATGACTAAATGTGAAAGCGACGGCAGGTAGTGACTGAAACAACACAGTTATCTCACGATTGTGGAGTTCCCCTTCAGCGCTACCGAGCTAACTTGGGTCTTTCAACCTCTTGTTTAGCTATCCGGCCCACAACTTTAGTGTTTTGGTTTCCTCTCACTGCTCTCATAGCGTTGTCTCTGGCTACAGCATGCAGCAAAAAAACTCTGCAAAAACCTTGCTACTTGCCACCATTTAGCAACTAGCTGGTGAACATTTTCCAGCATTTGGCAGTTAAGGAAACAGATAGAATTTCGCTCAGGAGTTGGTGGAGATCAAAAACAGATCCTCCAGGAGAGTAAATACTGGACTTACATCAAGTGGCCAGAAACATGTCTCAGAATGAATTCCGAACTCTGTATATCTGCTGGATGTGTAAATAGGCAGCTGTTCGCTATGTAAACTCAAAAGCTGATAATACAGTATATTAGTGTTTACAGTGTTTTTCCTCTGGTCCCCAACTGACCACATAATCAGTTGTTGCACATCTAAATTTGGTTGGTAAGAATTGTGACCAAGATATGTACTGAATGGAGGATTTCACATTTGAAAATTTTATTTGTCAGTGCCCTTTGGTGGACAAATAATGCAATGGTAAAATTGTTTCTAAATGACTTCAAACATATCTTTTGCATTTTTATAAGACTACTGAAATATCTTTTTGGCCAAAATACGCACAAATGTTGGTATATCTGTAGTAGGCTAATATCATCTGAGATTTGAACAACTAATGTTGGTGTTTGTCATGCACAAAGATACAGTATTGTTTTGTTTTTTTCAACTGTTAATTAATGTCGTTGTGACCTACAATTCAAGCTTTTCTCCTTCAATTCTGTGCTGTTTCCTTGATTTCAAATAGTCGGTGAGAAAATAGGAATAATAGCCTTTGTGCTGTCTCTCCTGGCCTTGATCATCACTCTTGCTCTTCTTTCTTGGATGGGTTGGCAAAGACTTGGTCACACATTGACCATCTCCAACACTGTAGCTAAAGGTAAAGAACACCATTGAGCACTTCCTATTGGGTTGAATTTTAAGCAAACGTTCTGTGGATAATTTTATTTTCTTGCTTTTCTTGAAGGTCCTGGGCCTGAAAAGTCACCAAAGTAAGAAAAAATATATTTATGTTGATATTTGCAATTTGTTTACTTGCTCTAAGCCAGCCGAGCCAGAAGGTTGTATATATTATCTGATCTGACAATCTGACATTTGTCTGCACACCAGGGGAGCTTTGCCGAAGACTGACAGTGACGGAGATGTGTACATGAATTACACCAACCAAGCCTACACTGATCTGGACCCCACCAATATGACTGGTGATAATGTGTACTCAAGTCTGTCATGAACATCTGTAGGAGGGTCGAGATAATAAAAATGTAATAGGATGTAATAAAAAGATGACGAGCAGACAGAAGTTGGATCATATCAGCGCATAGAGCTCAATGTCACCTTTAATCTGATAGATAAGGTTTTGCATGTACAGTTATTTAACACGATCTGAATGTAGTAAAACCCACAGATCTGTGGTTCTAGCTGGGTGAAACAGTTCCCACCAAACAGTAAGAGGCCCTTCTCGCTTTTTCTTTGTAACTGTTAATAAAACTTATAATTTCCTACAATTTTCTGTATGTCTCATATTGCATGTACTGTTCATGGGTAGATTTCTACCTACTTGATGTGTCCGAAACTAACTTTGTGATTTACTTCAGTCATACTAATACAGCCAAATTTAAGACACAAATTGCATTTTTTATTACAAGTTGGTTATATGGAATAAAAGCAGCATCTTTGACTTTTGGAAGATGAAAATAATGCTACACACACTTTTGAGTACATTACAAAATTACAAAAGCTGTTCCACTGAATAAAAATAACATTATAAATCTGTTTTCCAACAGCATGTAAGCTCACAATATAAAATAAATATAAAAAATATACAGTATTGTACATATACAGCAGATCACTGAATAATAATAAAGGTTGACTTCCTTTGTCACAGTGAATCATGGGATTTTCCAACATGAGACCTATGTCACAATATTGGGTGCCAGAGGTGAAACGTAGCTCTAGCTTTATTACTTCTGTTCCCTGATTTCACAATACCGGATATAACTTGTCCAGGCAAAGCTAGAAAAACTGTAACTTATCTGATGGGAGACAACAATCTTATCATAGTTTACTGTGTGTGTGTGTGTGTGTGTGTGTGTGTGTGTGTGTGTGTGTGTGTGTGTGTGTGTGTGTGTTTGTGTGTAATCTAATAAGCAGGTCCACTCTTTGAATTTACTCTGAATTTACCTTGACTTCTCTACCGATGCCCAATTTTGGGCCAAGCCACACCTGTGGGAGGACTTAACATAAGTCGCATCAGATTTCACAGACTGATAAATTGACATCCTGTTGAACTTTCAGTATGAAATGTTTTGTTAATGTACTTCTGCTTGCAAAGCTTCTGCTTTTGAGTTTGAAGTTCACACAGGAAGTGCAGAAGGACGGGTGTAATGCAGACAGCAGCTCCTACACTATGCTGAGATCAAATGTCAAGTGACAAATGTCCTGACCACGTTACATTGTCTTAAAAGAAATTCTAAAAATGTGGAGCCACCAACACTACATTACATAGATAAAAAGTAATAGTTGCAGATGTGCTTTGTATACTTGTGTATTTGTTTTTAATGTCCTACTTCGGCCATGGTCTACTTTAAACTCCCAAAAAGAGATGATTAGGCTTGGTATACAAGTGTATTTCTTGTTTTTGTCCTATTTTGGGCAGAACATCGGTTGATTTCACAGACTAATAAAGAAAATAAAACCTAAAACTTTCTTAAAAGAGAATCTGAGGATGTGAAGCCACCAACACTAAATGATATGTATATATAATCATTTAGGAGTGGCAACATGAGAAAAGTCTTTCACACACAAGTAACATATATCTACAAAACTTTTAAGTCAATCCATCTCAGGCTCTTGGTGCTCACTCTGGAGTCTCTGGCTGTGATTCCTGCTGTCCATGGAGAGCTGTGAGGTGACCGTGTGTGAATGCCCATCTCCCTTTCTTAGCTTTTTAATGTGGGCCATGATGAACCTTCTAAACTTCCTTGTAGCGAAACAATAAACTGTGTATTTGTTTTTAATGCCCTACTTTGGCCATGGTCTACTCTTAACTCCTAAAAGAGATGATTAGGCTTGGTATACAAGTGTATTTGTTGTTTTTGTCCTATTTTGGGCAAAACAAACCCAACCCGTGGGATGATTCACATTGTCTGGTGTCTCATCAGTTGATTTCACAGACTGATAAAGACACTAAAACATAAAACTTTCTTAAAAGAGAATCTGAAGATGTGGAGCCACCAACACTAAATTACATAGATAAACTACAGTTCCAGAGGTGCAACACAATACTGTATTTGTCATCTTTTATGAGCGACAACATGAGAAAAGTCTTTCACACACAAGCAACATATATCTACAAAAATTTAGTACATATATTCCGTATGTTTAAGTCAATCCATCTCAGGCTCTTGGTGCTCACTCTGGAGTCTCTGGCTGTGATTCCTGCTGTCCATGGAGAGCTGTGAGGTGACCGTGTGTGAACACCCATCTCCCTTTCCTAGCTTTTTAATGTGGGCCATGATGAACCTTCTAAACTTCCTTGTAGCGAAACAATAAACTACAGGATCCAAAATGCAGTTAAGGCCCATCAGACACAAGGTGATCTGATGTGCGTCGTTGAGCAACTGAAGAGTCTTCTGGTCCCACTCTACGTGGCCCCAACCCTGACTGATCTGCAACACTGCCAGTGTCCAGGGGCCTTGAATTACATGGTGGGGCAGGAAACACAGAACAAACACTCCAACCACTGCCCACAACATCTGCAGAGCCCTCCGTTTCACCCCCCTTGGCCTTCTAAATGAGGACGACATGGTGTTGTTGGACTTTCTAGACATAATTGTTGTAGACCTGAATTCTGACTGGGGAGGATTTTGCAAAAGTAATGCTCGAGCAATTAGGAAATTACATACCACGACGAGGAAAAACACAACAAAAAACATTCCAATTATTGCAAAATGAGTAGCAGCCACTGTTTTCTTCTGAGAATCAGTTTCATTCTGGTACCCCTCAAAACAGCGGATAACATCGTTCTCATCAGTTTTTGTCCCTGGAGATATCAGATATGGAATAGCCATGGACATGGTCAACACCCAGATGACAACGCACACAATGATCCCACGACGTCTGTGGTCTGAAGAGGCCGCGTCCAGAGGTCGAGTGACTGCCCAGTATCGGTTGACGCTGATGGCTCCGAGGAAGAGGATAGAGCAGTAGGTGTTGATGAAGAACAACGTGCCAGTCAGCCGACACATGAAGTCTGTGTAGACCCAGTTACCATTGCGACTGTAATAGCCAATCCAAAAGGGAAGGGCACACACAAAAAGGAGATCAGCGATGGTCAAGTTTGTCATGTAGATGCGGATTTCGCCCATGGCCTTGGCATCACGGAGGCAGCGCAGGACAAACAGCACGTAGATGTTAGCGAAGAGGCCGAGGATGAAGACGATGCCATAGACAACTGGGAGGAGGACATAACGAAACTCGGAGTCCAGGAAGGTTGAGTTATTACTAGGTGGAAAGCCTGGAGCTGAGGTTCCTGTTACAGCAACTTGTTCTGGAGTTGAGGCCAGCATTTCTGTCTGTTAGAGACAAAAGATATCGAAATGAAGTGGTTCTTCTAGTCGGAACAAGCACATTCAGTTCTACAATTTATTAGGTAAAGCTAAAAGATAATGCTTGTTCTGCCATAAATTCTGAAAGGTGTTGATTCAACTGTATGATCATTTGGAAAGCTGCAGTTTGTGGTGCTGTTGAATTGTTGCGTTTCACTGACAGGTGTTTAGTATTTTATCCATTATTTTTTCAGAAAAAAATTAACAAAAATAAAAGTAAGCAGTTTTTTTTCATCCTACATCTTCTAATAATTTTACTTTTTGCTAATATTCAAGTCACACTTCAGATTCACAGTTTAAAACTGACTAGATTTGATCTGCCCGCCTTAATATGTCGTAACTTTTTTTAAAGAGGAAAATACTGAAAGAGCAATTTACAGGCTTTTGACTTACCAGACTGCTTCCTGTCCTCTAATAAGTCTCAAGATGTGAACACTGTGAATGCCACAGTTGCTATAATGTACGGTAACACTGAATAGGCGTGTTTAAGTGTCAGTGGGAGTGTTTCAAAGGTCAGGAAAAAGGAGGTGTGATTTTCTTGCAGTCTTAGGAAACCCCAGCATGGTGCAACACACTTATACACCATATAGCTTCCCATGTTTGTTCTTAATCCATCAAATCTACAATTTGCGCAATTTTCAATTCACAACTACTTCCAATATGGACATTCACATAAAGTTTTATTGAAAGATGCTTAGTTATCAGTGGAATATGCTACATAGACATTTCAGTTAAAGAGATTAAAAAAAGAAAACAAAAGGAAAGATACACATGTATACAGACACACACAAATGTAGTTGTAGAAAATAGGTTGATTATATACATAATGATACATCAGCTTAAATATATATAAGCTATATATGTTTATAACACTACTACTACTACTATTACTAATGGACATTTACAAAAAATGCATATCAATATACCTGCCAGCACTGCAACCATACTATATGTCTTTTATTACCCTGGGTGTCTTCATTATTAATATTATATGACGACTTCCACTGGTGCCACAAAACCGCAGGTCAGACTACAAAAGATAAGAATACTTTCATGATTTTTGTCAAGTAATGTATTTTAGGATGAAGAATAGTCTACTCCACAGCTGGATATGTACTTACAAATACATAATAAACCGAGCTAACACTAGATTTCTTGTGTGGTTCTCTGAGCCCATGTAAAACCGTATCTAGTATAACTTGTTCTTATTCTAAGTGTGCAGTAATGCATTTTACCCACATGGGGGAGGAAGAGACTAATAAAACAGCAAAAGCAGTATATTTATGTTGGTGTCTGCAATTTGTTCACATTCTGTGTATACTGTATTAACAGTCTGATCACAGGGGAAGTCTGCCACAAAAAGAGTTATGGACATGAATTACACCATCGAAACCTACCCTGATCTGGACCTCACCAATATGACAGTCAATAATGTGTACTCAAGTCTGTCATGAACATCTGTAGGAGGGTGGAGATGTGTAATAAAAAGATGACGAGCAGACTACAGTTAGGTCATATCAGCATATAGAGCTCAATATCGCCTTTAATCTGATAGATGAGATTTGCATATACAGTTATTTAACACAATCTAAATGTAGTAAAACCCACAGATCTGTGGTTCTAGCTGAGGTGAAACAGTTCCCACCAAACAGTAAGAGGCCCTTCTCGCTTTTTCTTTGTAAATGTTAATAAAAACCTGTAATCTAGTCCAATTTTGTGCCAAAAACTGTGCATGAGGGAGACAGCAGATGAAGAGTGGGTTGGAGTCAGCTCCAAAGGCTATGTCTATGGCGACCGCAATTCTTGGGACTCAAGGATGGAGGAGAAGACTGAGATCGAGCCAGAACTGAAGAGATCTGAATTTATTGATAAAACAGCAGAGAGTTCACATGGTTTCTTCTTTCTTCTAATAGACTTTTCCAAACACAAGACAGTCAGTATCCTACACACTGCTTCTGACACCATTATTTGTTTACCTTCTTGCTCCTGAAAGTCTGTCCCTTTCACTTCCTACCCAGTGACATAACACACGTCACCTAATCTGACACAGTGACAATATGAACAGACTTAAATACTTTGTAGTCCGAACACTTGTGTAGGCTTACTTTTTAGATTTATGCAAGCGTGCAATTTAAGTGCAAAGCATGATGATTGTTGTTGAGAAAACACAGACAAATAGGACAGCATTGGTTGACCTGGTAAAAGTAGGTTTGTATTAGGGTTAGGGTTAGGGTTATTAAGGTGTGGTGGAAGTGTGGCCATGCTCCTGAACCTGAGTTAACTAGTTCACTTCATTTGTCAGTGTGTGGGTTACCTGAAAGTATCAACGAATCAACGAATCAAAGGAAATTTATTCATTATTATACAACACAAGGTTCTATAACAAAATGAAAGTTTACATTTCTTCATGCTGCACACAGAAAACAGTCTCAAATCACATGTACTTTTGACGGGTTGATGTTTCCCTACTTGTTTATATGACAGAAACTGACTTTTTAATTTACTTTACCTATTATAATTAAGTAAGTTCAGTAAATTCAAAAGTTTTATTATAAGAGCATATACAATATAAGATAACAAAAGCTCATACAAATACATACAAAAATTCATTCAGAAATCTGTTTTGCCAAAGTAGCATAAAGAAGAAATACAGTATTATATATTTGTAGCAGATAGTTGAATCGTAATAATAAGCGTTGCCTTTCTTTGTCGCACTGAATCATGAGACATACGTGTGTCGCAATATTGGATGCCAGAGAGGAAATGCTCAAGCATTATCGCTTCTGTTCCCTGGTGTCATAATGACTGAAAAGATCTTATCTGATGGAGATTGTTGGGACATGAGAGACGATCTCATTGACAGATATTGCATGTGTGTGGGAAGGGAATAGGGGCATGATTCACTCGAAATTCCCAAAAAGAGATTGTTAGGCTCTATAAAGGTGTATTTGTTTTTAATGCCCTACTTTGGCCATGGTCTACTCTTAACTCCTAATAGAGATGATTAGGCTTGGTATACAAGTGTATCTGTTGTTTTTGTCCTATTTTGGGCAAAACAAACCCGACCCGTGGGATGATTCACATTGTCTGGTGTCTCATCAGTTGATTTCACAGACTGATAAAGACACTAAAACATAAAACTTTCTTAAAAGAGAATCTGAAGATGTGGAGCCACCAACACTAAATTACATAGATAAACTACAGTTCCAGAGGTGCAACACAATACTGTATTTGTCATCTTTTATGAGCGACAACATGAGAAAAGTCTTTCACAGACAAGTAACATATATCTACAAAAATTTAGTACATATATTCCGTATGTTTAAGTCAATCCATCTCAGGCTCTTGGTGCTCACTCTGGAGTCTCTGGCTGTGATTCCTGCTGTCTATGGAGAGCTGTGAGGTGACCGTGTGTGAACCCCCATCTCCCTTTCTTAGCTCTTTAATGTGGGCTATGATGAACCTTCTAAACTTCCTTGTAGCGAAACAATAAACTACAGGATCCAAAATGCAGTTAAGGCCCATCAGACACAAGGTGATCTGATGTGCGTCATTGAGCAACTGAAGAGTCTTCTGGTCCCACTCTACGTGGCCCCAACCCTGACTGATCTGCAACACTGCCAGTGTCCATGGGCCTTGAATTACATGGTGGGGCAGGAAACACAGAACAAACACTCCAACCACTGCCCACAACATCTGCAGAGCCCTCCGTTTCACCCCCCTTGGCCTAAATGAGGACGACATGGTATTGTTGGACTTATTAGACATAATTGTCGTAGACCTGAATTCTGACTGAGGAGGACTTTGAGAAAGTAACACTCGAGCAATTAGGAGATTACATACCACGACGAGGAAAAACACAACAAAAAACATTCCATTTATTGCAAAATGAGTAGCAGCCACTTTTTTCTTCCGAGAATCGGTTACATTCTGGTACCCCTCAAAACAGCGGATAACATCGTTCTCATCAGTGTTTGTCCCTGGAGATATCAGATATGGAATAGCCATGGACATGGTCAACACCCAGATGACAACGCACACAATGATCCCACGACGTCTGTGGTCTGAAGAGGCCGCGTCCAGAGGTCGTGTGACTGCCCAGTATCGGTTGACGCTGATGGCTCCGAGGAAGAGGATAGAGCAGTAGGTGTTGATGAAGAACAACGTGCCAGTCAGCCGACACATGAAGTCTGTGTAGACCCAGTTACCATTGCGACTGTAATAGTCAATCCAAAAGGGAAGGGCACACACAAAAAGGAGATCAGCGATGGTCAAGTTTGTCATGTAGATGCGGATTTCGCCCATGGCCTTGGCATCACGGAGGCAGCGCAGGACAAACAGCACGTAGATGTTAGTGAAGAGGCCGAGGATGAAGACGATGCCATAGACAACTGGGAGGAGGACATAACGAAACTCGGAGTCCAGGAAGGTTGAGTTATTACTAGGTGGAAAGCCTGGAGCTGAGGTTCCTGTTACAGCAACTTGTTCTGGAGTTGAGGCCAGCATTTCTGTCTGTTAGAGACAAAAGATATCGACATGAAGTGGTTCTTTTAGTCAAAAAAGGTGAACTCCACTGTCCATTATTTTTTCAGAAATAAACTGAACAACATAACCTTAGTGTGTATAACAAGTAAGCTTTCCTCTCATTAGTGTTTTTCTCTGAGAGCTGTATGTTCTAATTAATTAAAGTCACACTTCATAAATCAGCTTCGCATTTTACCTCAATCGTCGTAATGTTTTATAAGAAAAAAACTAAAACCGTAATTTACAGACTTTTGACTCACCAGACTGCTTCCTCTCCTCTAATATGTGTCAGGATGTGAACACTGTGAATGCCTCGGGTGTAAGTACAGTTGTGGGTGTACTGTGCTTCAGCAGTTAAGAAAAGGAGTAATTTTCTTAGGAAACCCCAACAGGATGAAACACGCATGTCCACCTCTATATCTTTCCATCTTTGCTGTTGGAGCTTTACAGTTAGTCTTTATCTTCCCTGATCATAAAAAATATGTTCTAGTGGCTCTAAGCAACAGGTTCTTATTTTTCTAGAGAATATAACTTAAAACATTAGATGTGTTTTGAAGTTTACAGTGAAAATATAGTTTAAAATGAATTATAGTAGGTTAATAATAATAATATATAGTGCTGTGAAAAAGTATTTGCCCACTCTCTGATTTCTTATTTTTTTGCATATTTGTCACACTTAAACGTTTCAGATCATCAAACACATTTTAATATTAGACAAAGACAACCCGAGTAAATACAAAATGCAGTTGCCCCCTAAACCTAAAAACTGGTTGTGCCACCCTCGGCAGAAACAACTGCAAACAAGCGTTTGCGATAAGTGGCAATGAGTCTTTCACATCGCTATGGAGGAATTTTGTCCCACTGTTCTTTGAAGAATTGTTTTTATTCAGCCACATTGGAGGGCTTTCAAGCATGAACAGCCTGTTTAGGTTCCTGCCACAGCATCTCAATCGGATTT